AAATCTGCATTCAATGAATGCCTTGTTGGCAAATAATGGATGTAATTAAAAATTCTGAAATAACAAAGAAATTTATAAACATTATTAACATTTTATATGTTGTTTGCAACTGTTTCTATTATTGTTTAGGAAGACTAATATCTGTTGGAACCTTTTTGGTTGTGCCAAATATCATGGAATCCTACGCATGTCCACTCAGAAATTAATGGCACTGAGCTCAATGAAAGTGACTCCCAGATGATGTGCCTAGTTTTGCAATTTAAGGATCTCACCAATAAGATATTTTAATTATTGTACTGTTTTTTTGCTAATAATTGTCATAATGAATTTGTTTATCCAGGCTGCAGCTGACAGATAAAATCTATGTAAGTGTTCTATAAAATATAATACAGTACACCAATATTGAACAACATATATATGAGGAAACTGTTTGGAATGCAATTTTATTTTTTAATATATTAATGGTTTGATAGACTTGTCAAGAATGACTTTAAGTTACATTTATCCACAAATTATATTCCTGTTTGAAACAAATGATACCCATTTGAATGTTGAGTGTGTGATAGGCATAGAGGGACATGCATTTCATATATGTATATGTGTGAACAAATGCTTTTTCTATAATTTTAATTGATCTAATAAAATGTGTTTTTAATTCACTTTAACTCCACCTGTGGCCAGAAATGTACTATTTTTTAAAATAAATTTGATGTTTTTTCCACAATCATCCAACAGTGGAAACTGCCAGACCAGACTGCTTCAATTAGCTAGCTATGAAATGTATTTGAAAAAAAAGAAGGTCTGTAATGTAACATAACTTGCCAATTGCTGTAATAAACAATTCTGTTAATATTATGTACCTGGCTTTCTGTTGCTATTCATATGAAATCCAGACTAACGTATTTCTTAATTTACAGCCACAATTGGGACTAGAATCTCAGTCATTAAGTAAAGAAATAGTTAAGCAAAATACCTACATAATCACTTTGCCCAATGGTCACAATACTGGCTTTCATAGTAGCGGCGGTTAAGTAATTTGATGGAACATTAAGTAGAGCATGGAGTACTTTGTGGTGTGGGAGGCTTGGGGAGCTTGGTGCCCAGAGGTGTGTGGAAACCTGTTGCAGGATGGGAGGTCTAGACCTTTTCCCCCTATCTAACGCTGAATTGCCTGAGCCCTTCCCCACCCACTGCGCCTGGGTCCACTTATCTTTGTGTTGTTTTTCTGACAGACATGCCCAGCTGATAGAAGGTGTGGCCTTCTACGGAGATCACCTCATTTCGTTCAGCAAATGGGCCCAATTCTCACAACTGTTCAGACGCTCCTTCTCCAAATTGTGCGATTTGGAGAAGGGGCCTTTCAAATGATTGCAAGAATGATCTGTATATTACCTGTATAACATCTTCCTAGGAATGTAAGCCTGCCTGAGCTTTGCTCATTATGCTGTTGAATGAGTGTCATGTCAAGTATAGTAAAACCTTTGGTCATGAACGCTTCTGACAACAACCAAATTGGGTTCCAACCAAAACATTCACAAAATTTTTGAATCTGGTCACAAACACATACTCGGGTGGTGATCAAACATGAACCCTGACCCAGAAATTCCTGAAGATGAAACATTAGAAGATGAAGAAATTGCAAAGTTATGGAACAAATTATGGTCATGACCAGAGGTTCTACTGTATTGGGATTATTACACTAACATCTAACATTTCCTCCAGATTTTTCAAAATCTCTAGAATTTTTCTAAAATCTCCCACAATTCTCTGGAATCTGCAATCTACATAAAGTCCATAGAAAAGAATACAGTGTGCCTGTACCATGCATCCAAGCAGTTGAATTAACATTATTGGATGTAAAACCTAGATCTTTTATATCCAATTCAGATAGATATCCATTTACCTATTGTTTTGTTTCACAAAATATTGTTATAATAAGTATATAAAAAAAAGTATATAAAAAAAGTATATAAAAATAAGTAGTTTTATTAATACCTTTCACTGCAGTGTTTTTAATAATTTTATTTTATGCGTTACACATTTAAATAGAATTACATTTTTTACATCATTTATTACTGGCTGTCAGTATTTTTTTGGTCAAAAATAGGAAGTAAATAGTTAATTGTTGATACATTTCTTTCTTGCCTGTGATATTCTCCTGACATCTAGTGGAGACTTCAAAAATAACACCCTCTAGTTTAATAAATTATGAACTTGCAAAAATCCTGTATGTTCTGATTTTTGAAAAGAATAGCAAGTGAACCGTGTCCAGGGGTGGGATTCCACCAGTTCGCACCTATTCGCTAGAACCGGTTGTTAACATTCTAAGCAGTTCGGAAAACCGGTTGTTAGAAGAAATTACTGGCCTAATCCTGTAAGGAAGGCAGGAAGGAGACATTCTGGTGTTGTTTACAGAAACTGCCTTTCCGTTAATCCTTATTACATTCTTGGCAGGACTAGACTTCCTGTCTTAGGAACTTCTCTGGAGTTTTTTTCCCCCTCCTTTGCTGGTACTTTGCTTATGTGGAGTGACCATTCAAAGTTACAATGGCACTGAAAAAAGTGACTTATGACCATTTTTCACACTTATGACTGTTGCAACATCCCCACAGTCACGAGAGGCCAGGCGAGGAGATGCATGCCTTGATGTGAGTGATATTGGCCACACCCAGCCAATAATACGACCAAGCCATGTCCACCCAGTCACATGACCACCAAGCCACGCCCACCACCTAAGCCAAGCCCACAGAACCGGTTGTTAAAAAATTTGAATCCCACCCGACAGTGTCTATTTGCTATAGTGTAGCGCATGCGCATGTACACACACACACACACAGAGGCGGGGGGGTATATAATGGATCATATACATGTGGATCAGTACCTTGTTTTAGTCCATGACTATAATAAAGATTGAACTGAATTGGATCAGTACCATCTGTGATAACAGTGAAAAATACAAGTCTCATCCTTTCCACATTATACATATAAAAGGGCAGAGCTTGCATCATAGTGTGATATCTGCCATCTTGCCCATTTTTACACTTTTATGAATACTGTACCATTGTTTTTAGCAAATTTCCTGTTAAGTGCCACATCCTAGTCATTTCAGAATCTAAATTTATCCTAAGGCACCATAACAGAAAAGACATTAGATACACGTTTAACTGAAGAGATCTGGAGCATTCCCATTCTGTCTGACCCTAGATTGGCAGAGTGGATGGGCTCCTTCAATTAATCAATGTGATCTATCAGAACTTAGAAAGTTACTTCTGTTACAGCATCTGTAAGCTAGAAAAGACATCTTTCCAACTTACTGTGATGCTGTTTTCAAAATCATTGAAAACTTGGCTCTGGTCCCAGGTTTGGAGGTAGGAGGGCTGTTTATCCCATTGTTTTTCTCTTGGGGTGTTTTTTGGGTGTTGTGTTCCCTTCTTTCAGGGGTTGAGAAACTCTCACGATCTTCTTTGTTTTTATTCCTTTTATTATGTAAGAGTTGTCTGGAGTCAAATGGCCTCAGCATTCCACTAATTAAGTGAATTTATAAGAGCTAGATTCCTTTTTCTGTGTAGTGTTTTCCTCTTGCTGCACACAAATAAATGTGGCTATTGAAATAACGGAAAGCACCGATGGATAGAATTAAGTGATTTATAAACAAAAGTATGTAAGGGTATGTGCCAAAAATAATTCACTTTTATCACTAACCTTTGAAGATTTCCAGTATCTTCCTTGGAGCCCATTCAATCCAGGTAGACATAACATCGTTAACAAACAAAAATGGGCAAAGATAGAAGCAAAATAAACTCTATGATGAAGATAGGAGCTTACTAATATTTTTCATTCCTCTCTGCCTTAATATGCTTATAGGACTGACTACAATCAAGGCATTGTTATTCTTACTAGAATTTAAGCTTAACGGCACCTGAAAAACTAAGGCTAGTTTTAATCGTGACTTGCAACCTCCACTCTAAAGTAAGATAAGCACATGTGCAGGGAAATAAAGGAAGTGAACTGAACTTTTGATAGGGAAAAAAAGATCAGGGAGCAAAAAGCCATTTTTTCTACCATGATTTTTACTCCCTTTTTTCCTATCAAAAGATCGATTCACCTTTCTTATCTTCCCACACATGATCTTGTCTCATGTTGGCTGGAGAATTCTGGGATTTGAAATTCATAAGTCTTAAAAAGTTGCCAAAGTTGGAAACCTCTGGTCTAAATATTTTAGAATATAATCCCAATTAACCAGTGCCACAATAGTTTACAAATCTGGAGGACATGAAGCTGGGGAAAAACAATGCACTTTCCTATGGAAAGCCAAGTTGCCTGAACTTATCCTTAAGCTGTCTAAGAGAATAAAAAAAACAAAAGCAAAGAAGTCCTTGGATAGATAAGGATCACATAAATGTCATGTGATGCTTGTGTTCAAACCCAACCTCTGCCATAGTTACTTCTGTAACATTCATTGATAATTGTGATTTGCAATCCTATTCTACTGACACGGGTTGGTTTAGAAACAAGGTATTGTTTGTCAGATTTTTACAGGATACTCATTTTTTTCCTGCTCCCAACTAGCGCGCCTACCTCCTTTCCTAGCCACCACCAGCAACTACTTTTAGTTTATCAGGGAGAGGCTTTTTCTAAGCGGGCCAAAAATTCTCCCTCGCATAAATTGTGGACGAGCGCTAAGGTAGCAGGAGGGCAAGTTTCTGCCGTCCAAATCTACTAACGCTAATTCGTAATGTACTTAAAAATGTCTACTGCAAGTTATTAAGGAACAATAATAGGTAATTGAATAGCTTCCAAGGTTTCAGAGAGAAACGCCCCACTGCTTCTCGCGCCCAATGAAAACGCTCGTTCCCGCCCCTTTTTTCCTCACCATCCAATAGACATTAAGATCTCCCGCGTTTCCTCCCCGGCCGGTATGCGACAGGAAAAAAAGAGGAAATCGTGTCCTCTTTTCTTCTAACGGAAAGACTCACGAGAAGGAGGATGGTCGTAACCAATCACATCCGCCGGCAGCCTAACGAGAAGTTAGAGCAACCAATGGGAATCGAGCGCGCACTGTCGCTCGCCTTGCCCACCTTAGAATTCGCATTAGTTGTTGCGGGAGGCGGCAAAGATGGCGGCCTCTGCCAAGCGTAAATCTGAAGATACTGAGGCGGCGGGGAGCAGCGACGGCAGGACTCGCTCTAATAAACGAACCTCGAAGGAAAGCCAGTCGCGATCGGGCGATCGAAGCGCGGGTCCATCGTTCGTCGAGGGCGCTATCGTGAGGATCTCCATGGAAAACTTTCTGTGAGCGCGAAAGGCACACGGGCAGCGGCTGTACGGCTGGCCGATAACGGCGGGGAGGGAGAGGGAGGCGAGGGGCGGAATGAGGTGCAGTGGGCCTGGCCTCTTTCAGGGCTGAGAGGGAAACTTCGCCCTCCCCCCCCCATGACCAGAGGGTTCGTGGTGGCCTTCGGGGGTTTCTTTGGGGGTATCCCTGGGTGGTGTTTTGTCCGGGCGCTCTCAGGCTTGCTTACTCTAAATCCGAGAGGGCCTTAATGCCTTCTTTTGTTATCAGCAGTAGTTGCCCCATCGCCCAAAAAAAGGGGGAGAAAAAAAAAGACCATTCTCAAAGATCTATCTCATCCTGGGAACCTTTTTTTTTTTTTTTTTTGAACTATTACCATCCGGCAGACGGTACAGAATAATAAAAACAAGGACAAATAGGCTGAAAAACAGCTTCTTATCCCAGGGCAGTAGCTCTTTTGAATTCTGCTGTATAGTGCAGCGTTGGTGCGGTGTGTGTGTGTGTGGGGGGGGTGTTTCGGTTCGGTGTGTGGAGGGTGAAGGATGTGTGTTTGTGTTTATTTTCATGGTCATGATGTGCACTGAAGATGGTGTTTGATTTCGTTTTACGAGGTGCAATGACAATAGAGTGAACTAAAAATCGGGTTCATCTTCATTACACTTTACCTCAGATCCTAAGTGCGTGTCTAGGGATGTCCCATTGCCTTTAAAGGGAAATGGAGTAATTACTTGGAGTCGAATAGAGAGCCTGTAGTGGGTAGTAGGTAGCCCACGGTTTCTGATTTCCTCTTGCCACACCTGTAGGGTCATGTCCCATTGGCCCTCTATACAACTGGGGGACTCTCAACTTCCCTCAGGAAGGGAGCTTGGAAGTCTTCTAATCCAGGGGGTCTCCCACCTCGGCAACTTTAAGACTTGTGGACTTCAAATCCCAGAATTCCTCAGCCAGCAAGCTGGCTGAGGAATTCTGGGAGTTGAAGTCCACAAGTCTTAAAGTTGCCAAGGTGGGAGACCCCTGTTCTAGTCCAACCCCTGCTCAAGCAGGAGATCCCTTACCATTTTGGACAAGTGGCTGTCTTCTTAAAAATCTCCAGTGATGAAGCACCCGCAACTTGTGGAGGCAACTTTTCCCACTGGTTAATTGTTCTCTCTGTTAGAAATGTTTCCACACACACCCCTTAATCCCAGGTTGCTTCTCTGCTTGATTATTTTCCATCCATTGTTTCTTGTCTTGCCTTCTGAAGTTCTGGAAAATAACTTGACCCCCCTCTTCTTTGTGACAGCTCCTCAAATCCTGGAATACTTCTATCATGTCACCCCCCCCCCAGGGCCTACTCTTTCTTTTCTCTAAACTAGCCATAAGAGACTAGACTAGACATAGACTAGCTAAAGAGTCTCCGACCCTTTACTTAAAACAGCATTTTCCAAACCAACATCTATCTGATAGTTATTCCTTATAATTTCTTTCACTTGAAACCAGTATGGCTAGTTGTATTGGATGGAAGTGAAAGCAGTTTTAAGCCACTATATTTGAAAGGGAGAAGATTGGGGGAATCCAGACTTCAATTCAATTCAAAAAGATGGGCTTTCATATAAGTAAGCATGGGATTGATATTCCTGTGCAAATTAGATAGACCTATGGTCTTTTAGCTTTGGTGCGGTTACTAAATAAACATGCATGCAATGAGCTGAAAAGCTGAAATCCAGTAAATGTTGCTTTGGTAGTGAATAATATTGAATACCCTGGGACGGCTGCACAGCTACTATATTAAATAAAGGTGTGCTATTTCTATATTGATATTTATTATTTGGTCATTGATGCCTTAATTTGCAAGTATTTATGAAAGATCCCTGCTGAATCAGATTAGAAGTCCACATATACATGTTCATCCTACACTAGCCAAGCAAATATTCACTGTAATCAAGGCCAAATAATACCTATTTTCTGCTCTTGTTTCTCAATAATTAGTATTGAGAAGCATATTGCCCCTGGTACTGGAGCTAATAATTAGCCATAATGATTGACTGACAACCTTAATTAAAGTTGCCCAAGTGTGTGGTCAATGTTATACTATGAGAGTGAATTGACAAATGATTTGCACTGAAAAACTCCTTGTTTACTTTCTTCATACCATATAAGTATTACTACACTTGTCTTTTTCCATAAAGGACATGGATATAACTCCCACCTCTATAGAAGGTATTGTAAACGTTTGATGGTTAAAATACTAGCATTACAAGTTAGCTTTAGATAGAATTCTTGTTTCAGTTAAGACACATTAATTTCTTTGTCCTTTGATAAACTGGCATAGGATTTTATTTTTCTCTGTTTCGGAGTTAAAATTTAAAGTCAGATGATCTTAAATACAGTATCTATTTGTTAGCTTCTTTCTTTGCTTTATACCTTGCCTTTCTATTTTGACGAGCATTCAAAACAGTAGTGAAACAATTGGAAAAAAATGAATTATTGAGGGCATAACTTCTCCTTTTTATCTTTACAAATAACTTATCAACATTTCTTTTAAATATTGCTTTTCAGAACCTATGATAACTGTGTGGTGTTTCCAGGTCCTCACCTAAATATGATAGTGGGAGCTAATGGGACAGGTAAATCAAGCATTGTATGTGCGATATGTCTTGGATTGGCAGGAAAACCTTCCTTTATAGGACGAGCTGACAAGGTGAGGATTTGGTTTACTTCTGTTTGGAATCATATGATATCATTTGGACTTCTTTTAGGATATATATCTTTAGGTTTTTAAAAATAATTTCCATATAATACATAGCAAATAAATGATGGTCCTTTGTATGAGAACCTTAATGTACTCTTTTTTAGAATTGATTTTCATATTTATTAATCACATTTAACCCAAAATATAGCATTGGGGTATAAAACAAACAACTCTTTTTTGTCATCAGCAGAAATAAAAAAGATAAGAAGGATCCCTACTTAATCTAAACCAAGTGACAAAACCATGTTTTTAATGCGCTGTTAAAAGTCATTAAATGGGGGGGGGGAGGTCATCTGAATCTCAAGGGGGATCCTATTCTAGAGGACAGTTGCCACAACAAAGGCAGCCTGCTTTCTTGTTCCTACTAGAATATCATTTGATTAACAGAACCAAGAGAGAGCCTGGTTTATTTTGTCTACTTATTCTCCTAAACAACTTTAACCTCTGGAATGTTTTGTTGTCCTTCAGTATAGTTTGTTCATTGGTGCTACTCTTTAATTCGCCTCTCTCCTTTGTTATGCCAATACTGTATTGCATCTGCTGGATAGTTTTAACTGTAATGATTTCAAAAGTGACTAAACAGCAAATTCTGCTCTTTTTACTTTTATGCTACTTCCTAAATTGCATATTTTGTTATAAATACTGCACTGTACTGGCAGTTATGATTTCTGTCATGAGTTAGAGAGCTAAGCGCTGCTAGAATGTTGAGTTTAGGTAACCAAAAATGATACCTCTTTATACTTACTCTTCTCTGCATTCTTTTTTCATTTCACTGGTTTCCTATCCCAATTTGTATTAAACAACTCTACTTAAGTATTTCATAATATGCAATGCTATGCAATACTTATAAATTAAGGATCTCTGTGTATCTTTTCCTTTTGTTCAGGTTGGTCATTATGTGAAGCGAGGTTGCAATAAAGGAACAGTTGAAATTGAGGTGTGAGTAATGAGACTTGTTTATATGCCCATTTTCACAAGTGTACAGGTAGTATTCAAATTAACAACAGTTTTTTTGTGACCATTTGAAGTTACTGTGGCACTGAAAAAAGTGACTTATGACTGTTTTTCACACTTGCGACCATTGCAGCATCCTCCTAGTCATGTGATCAAAATTCAGACACTTGGCAACTGACTCATATTTATGACAGTTGCAGTGTCCTGGGGTCATGTGAACACCTATTTAAACCTGATTAGCAAAGTCAGTGGGGAAGCCAGATTCACTTAACAGTCATATTACCAACTTAACTGCAGTGATTCACGAACAACTGTGGCAAGAAATGTTGTTAAACTTGCTTTAAAATGTCTCACTTAGAAATTGAAATTTTGAGCTCAGTTGTAGTTAATCGAGGACTACCTGCACTTAAAAAATAATGTTGTTGAGAAAGTGTAACATTAAGATATACATGTTTATTTTAGTAGTACATATATAGTGCTAAATATTACCATAGCCTAAAGTAAGACATAACAATTATTTTCTGACCATTAGGTATAAGGTGCCGAACAATGTTGTAATCACACGAGAAATGTCTGTATCAAACAACCAGTCAATTTGGTTTCTTAATAAAACCCCCAGCACTCTCAAAATGGTAGAGGAACAAGTCTCTGCTTTAAATATTCAAGTGGGCAATCTATGCCAGTTTCTTCCACAGGTATGAATACTTTTCATTTTAAAGAAAATACAAATATTAACAGTTTCAATAAATGAAATAATAAATGACATGAGAAATCTTGTGCAAGATAAATGTTTGCTACCTGATAATTAGCTATTAGATGTAATAGGATAAATTATGAAAATAATAATCATTATAGTATCACCTCTTTCATTCCAATGTGTGCATGACATGATAATTGATTTAAATGACAAGAAAGTGGATTATGACTAAATGTTAAGAAAAATTATCGTAATGTTTGACAGGGAAATCAGTTAGATAAACTAGTTACTAGTTACTGGGTGTTCTCAAGCAGAAATTAAATAGCCTTCTTTTTTAATTGTTTTAAATCCCTGCATCAGTGGAGAATTGAATAACATAAATGGCCCCTTTCAACTTATGCTTCTATGATTTATTAGACTTCTCTCATTTATATTAGCATAACTGAAATACTTTCTCTGAATGGTACTACCGTAAATGGAAAATTCTTGGACAATGAAACTCTGCAGTAGATATGTCTTGGGTACAATCTTTTTTTTTTTAAAAAAAATTTTTATTGGTTTTTAAGACGAACATAGACAAAACATAAAAACATAAAGCCATCTTCCATATATATACATACAGTGTGCTGATACATACAGTGTGCCAGTTGGTTTACAAATTGTTTTGTGCTTCCATTTCATAGTCTTCAATTACAATTACATTGTATAAATTCTCGTATTTACAATCAAGTATTAAATACAATATCATTATTAATCATTTGACTATACTTTTATTCATTCATGTTTTATGGAATAATCATATTTTACTTAATTTGTTTTATGACAGTTCATATTATCATCTCAAATCTATCCTACAATCCTTTTGTAAATATAATAAGAAAAGAATACTTCTTTATATATTTATTATTTTCTAAGAAACTACATATTTCATTACCATGTTGATAGAATAGATCCCAAATTTTATAAAATTGTTTATCATCTTGTTCTCTAATTTCAAATGTCAATCTACTCATTTCAGCACATTCCAATATTTTCTTAATGATTTCCTCCTGTGATGGTATTTTCTCATTTTTCCAGTTTTTAGCAAATACGATCCTAGCCGCTATTAATACATTTTACAATCAAATATTTCAATTCTTTACTGTATATTTCAGGTAAAATTCCCAATAAAAATATCTCTGGTTTCAAGTCTATATGCTTTTTTGTGATTTTTTTCCAGCCATGTGTGGATTTTAGTCCAATATTTTTTGGCATCCGCACAAGTCCACCACATATGGTAATATGAGCCAGGTGTCTGATGACATTTCCAACATTTTTCAGATTTGTTCTTGAACATTCTTGCTGTTCTTGTTGGGGGGAAATGCCACCTTTAAAACATCTTATACAAATTTTCTTTATATGCTGTTGACATTGTCATTTTATAATTTGGGGACCACAGTTTTTGCCATTTCTCTAGATCAATCCCATATCCAAAATTCTTCCCCCAAGCAATCATTGTTTCTTTAACTTGTTCTTCTTCTAGTTTAATTTCTAATAAATATCCATACAATTTTTTAATCACCTTTTCATCAGTACCTGTCAAAATCTTATCTAAATCAGTCAGTTTATCATAGAAACCTTCTGTTTTAGAGTCTTTATCATACCTTGAATGTATTTGCGCATATGAAAACCAATTCATCTTTATACCTTGTTCCTCTAATTTTTGTATAGATTTAAGTTCACCCTTTTCATTCAATATTTCACCATATCTAACTGTTTGTTCCTTTTTATATATTATAGGATAAGAAAATGCTTCAATAGTCGATAGCCAGACTGGAATTTTCAAATAACATTGTCTTTTAGTCTTCTCCCAGTTTAACCACAGAGACTCCCGTATATAATGTCTTCGAAAATACCCCTGTGTTTTAGTTCCTTTATAGCATAAAAAAGCATGCCACCCCAACAACAGATCATGTCCTTCTAATGTCAACAATCTAGTATTTCTTAATGTTATCCATTCCTTAACCCACATCAAATTTGTAGCTTGGTAATACAACTCCCAATTAGGCAAACCAAATCCTCCTCTTATTCTAGCATCTTGCAAAAGTTTTAACTTTATTCTCGCTTATTTACCTTGCCATATATATTTCAACACAATTTTATTTAAATCTTTAAAGTAATCTTTTCCAAGCCTAATTGGAATTGTTTGGAACAAATATAAAATTCTGGGTAATATATTCATCTTGATTGTTGATATTCTCCCTATTAATGACAGTTGTAAATTTTCCCATTTCGCCAAATCTAGCGCTATCTGCTGCTTAAGTTTGATAAAATTATTCTCTTTTAGTGTATTGCATCTTGCTGTCAAATGTATCCCCAAGTACTTGATCTTACTCGTGACCTGGATTTTCAATAGATCTGCCAGTTCTTCCTTTTGTCTTGATAGCATATTCTTTGTTAAGATCTTTGTCTTATCTTTATTTTCAAACCAGCCACCTTTCCATATGCCTCTATCTTTTCTATCAATTTTGATGCTGTTTCTAGTGGGTCTTTTAAAATGAAAACCAGATCATTTGCGAATGCTTGCAACTTAAATTCTTCCTTTTTAATTTTCATCCCTTTTATATCCTTTTCTTTTCTAATATTTCTGTTTAGCACTTCCAAGGTTAACACAAACAACAGAGGTGATAGTGGGCACCCTTGTCTTGTTCCTTTTCTTATATCGATAGAGTCTGTCAGTTCTCCCTCTATCATTACCTTTGCCATTTGCTTATGATATATAGCTTCTATTGCTTGAATAAATTTTTTAGCAAAGCCCATCTGTTCCAGCTGTAATAACATGAATCGCCAGTTCACATTATCAAATGCCTTCTGTGCATCTAGAAATATCAAAGCCATTTGTTTTTCAGGGTGTGCCTTGTAGTATTCCAAAGTGTCCAAGATTACTCTCATATTATCTTTAATTTGTCTCTTTGGCAGAAATCCATTTTGATCAGGATGGATAAAATTGTTTAAGTATTTTTCAAGTCTTTCTGCCAATATTGAAGCAAAAATTTTATAATCTGCGTTTAGTAAGGAAATAGGTCTATAGTTCTTGATTTGTAATGGATCGGCCTCCTCTTTTAGGACAAGTGTAATATAAGCTTCTGACCATGATTTAGGTATCTTCTTTAACATAACTTCATTCTAGCAATGGAACTTCTAGCAATGGAAGGTTCAACGATTCTTGTAATGTTTTACAAAATTCTGCCGGAAGTCCATCTGGGCCTGGTGCCTTTCCATTATTTTGCTTCTTGAGTGCTTCAGTTAACTCCATCATCGTTATATTGCTTTCTAACATTGTTTCAATCTCTTTAAGTATCTGGGGTAAATTAGCATTCTGTAAATACTGTTTAACTCTTTCCTCATCAATATTCTCTTGTGTGTATAGTTTTCCATAATAGTCTCGTATGATTTCCTTCTTCTCTTTACTTCCATAGCAAACTTGGCCTTGGTCATCTATTAATTGCAATATTTTCCTTGATTCTTTCTCCTTTCTCAATTTATATGTTAACCATCTACCTGGTTTATTTGCATCTTCAAACTAGTTCTGTTTAGCATCTCTGATTTTCTGTGCTAATTCTTCTTTTTCTATTGAACCCATTTTATGTTTAATTATATCCATTTTTAACCTAATGTCCTTTTTCTGTGGCATTTTCTGTAGCTCTTTTTCAAGTCCTTTATATTCATCCTCTAATGCAGGGGTGGGCAAACTTTTTGGCTCGGGGGCCGCATTGACTTTTAAAATTTGACAGATGGGCTGGGTCAGCACAAGATTTTTTGGGAATCGCCCCCCCCACCCTTCCCCCCTCTCTTCTCCTTCCCCTCCCCTCGGAGGCCCCCTGAGTCAGGAGTTGCTACCGCCGGCGCGGCTCCGCGCTGCTCCAGTCCCGTGTTGCCTCAGGAAGGGAAAGGCAAAAAGGAAGAGCCGCGGCAGTGCTTTGCAACGGGAGCGGCGGCACCGGAGGCTCAGGCTCAGCGGCTCCTGGTTTTGCCTTTTCCTTCCCAAGGCAACGCGGGACTGGAGCCGC